TCATTATAAATGTACGGGCTCTTGATGTTGCAAAGCAGTGCACTAACTTGGACTTAGTCCTCTATCATTCTCTGGCTGCCATTGCAGTCCTCAACCCCATTCCTCATAGGACTCTGCAAAACAACCTTCATGTGGAAAATCAACTTGTTCCTGCTTCCCTGAATGTGAAGAGTGGTGTCAGGCTTGCCTGCCAATCTCAAGAAAGAGGGACCCCTGCTGCTAGGGGCCAGCTCTTACACCTGTTCCTCATTTCAAGCCCTGGGTCTCTTCCAGGAATATCAGTTACCCTGCCTTGTGACATCAACCTTCTCAACCAGCTCTCTTGTTCCTGTTATACCTATGAAGTGTGTCTTCCTGCTAAAAACCAAAACTACCTTTGCCTTCTTTTTTTTTTTTTTTAATTTTATTTATTTGTTTTTTCCCCCAAAGCCCCAGTAGATAGCTGCATGTCATAGCTGCACATCCTTCTAGTTGCTGTATGTGGGACGTGGCCTCAGCATGGCCGGAGAAGCGATGCGTTGGTGCGCGCCCGGGATGCGAACCCGGGCCGCCAGCAGCGGAGCGCGCGCACTTAACTGCTAAGCCACAGGGTGGCCCTGTGTAAAGTCATTTTGCATATTTGACTGGGCGTGTCTAATGGTCATCCTTGGTGCCCAGGCCTGTGGTCCAGTGGAGGAGGAGGCCTGCTGAGGAGCTGTGGCTTGGGGTAGCATCTCCATCCCTGGCTGGGTCCTGGGCTTGGAGTTAGGAGCCACGGAATAGTGGTCTTGCCAAAGAACTGAGCAACATCCAAACTAATCAGGTGAAGAAGGCATGCCCAGGAGTCTCCCAAGCCCAGATTTGGCCCCAAAGGGCTTCTCTCCCTTCCATACTGCAGACTCCAAAGCACGACTGGCTGGGGCCTCAAGTCCTCTGCTTAAGCAGGAGAAAGGGCATTTCTGCAGCCGCTTCATCCTGCCAAATCAGGTGGGAGAAGGGTATGCAAGTGGGTTTACCAGACACGTTTCACCGTGGTTCTCTTGCGAAGAGTGAAGATACGCAGTTCTGATGAGGGGCTGGGTCAGAAGTCATCTTATGGTGCCGCTTAAGAAACAGGTGAGACTGAAAGGCTGGAGATTGGGGGTCCCTGAATGCAGGTGGATTCTCTTCTCTTGCTGCCACCCTGCTTGCTGCCCCTGTGGCCGTACTTTTCCTTCTAGGTTTGTTCTAAGTCTCAGCTCAGCAGATGATGGAAACGATTTGAGTTTTAGCTAAGGAACCAAAGTGAATATGGAGAGTGAGAGGCCTCCAAATTGGTTCTTTCCACAAGCACAGTGGTTTCCTGGACGCTAATTGGCCGGCCATCTGTACAACTGGGGAATTGGCGTGTTTGGCTACAGTCTCCTCACATCACCAGAATTTTTTGTAACATATTTATATTTTTTTATTTATTTATTAAACTAGCACAGGAATGTTTTTTTTATTAGCAACTAGCACCAACATGGGAATATTTCCATCCTAACACCAGGTTGTATCAGTGGATTTAGCCAAAGTGGCCTGTATCATCGGGATGAGCTATAAGTTTCCAGATAATGGCTTGTGTCTTTATAGGGCTTTTTAAGGCTTCCGACTTGATTCATAAAATCTTAGAGCTGTAGGGAACCTTAGAGATCACCTCAGCAGGGAAGCAGACAAGCAGTCCTGAAATGAAACTGACAAGCAAGCAGAACTTGATTGGGTTTGGTTTACTTCTTTTGTGCCTTTCGTGGACAAGACCTCATGGTCAGTCAGAGGGCAGCACTGCACAGCTTTGAATGAGCACAAGAATACAAACAGGACTTGTTAGTACTTTATAGTTTACAAGAGCCATCTTGATTTTTTGATATCCAAATCTTGTGTTCTTGTTGCTAAACCAGATGTTACAGAAACAGTGATATCTGCCCCACTGCCCCCTGACCCGCACCAATCAGTTCTATCCATAGTCTTCCCCATCTCACGTCATGGCAAATTCCATCTCACCAGTTACTCAGGCCAAACACTTTGGACATGTCCTTGATTCGTCTCCTTTTCTCACACTTTTTATTAGAATTTTAATTTATTAGATAATTTTTTATTAGAAAATCCTGTTGGCTCTACCCTCAGAATACATCCAGAATCCATATTTGGTGATATTCAGAAATTATTGTTAATTTTTTGTGTGATAATCGTAAAGAATCCTATCAGATACATACTGAAGGACTTGTAGAAGAAATGACAAGCAATCTGAAATTTGCTTTGAAATAATCTAGTGGGTAAGGAAGCTCAATGAAATAAGATTGACCATGTACTGATAATGTTGAAGCTGGGTGATGGGTACATGGGATTCATTACACTTGTTGCTCTATTTCTGTATATGTTTGACATTTTTTGTAATAAACTTATAAAGGAACAAATAGATGAACAGTACGGTATCTGGCCTCCCCCCCAAATAATGTCGGACCCCTTCTCATCACCTGCATTGCTACCACCCTGGTCTGAGCCACCACCAACTTGCCTACATTATAGATTTACAGCATTAGCCCCTGACTAGTCTGGCTTCCATCCTTGCCCCCTACAGTCTCAACCCAGCAGCCAGAGGGACCCTGTTTTAAAGTGTAAGTCAGATCAGATCACTCCTCTGCTTAGAACCCCTGAATGGCTCCCATGTCACTCAGACAAAGCCACAGTCATCAGAAGGCCCTAAGAGACCCCCACAATCTGGCCTCTGAGCTCATCTACTCCTTCCGCTGGCTCAATCTGTTCCAGCCACACTGGTCTCCTGCTGTTTCTTGAACATGCGAGGTACTCTCCTGTCTTAGCACCTTGCACTGACTCATTTTTTTTATGTATGTAGTTTATATTATGAACATTTTCAAATAATACAGAAAAGCCAAAAGAGTGGCACAATGATCACTTAGATAGACACCAGCTAGATTCAATAATTGTTAACATTTTGCCGTATTTGTTTTATTTCTCTATGTAGACATGTACACAAACACACACACCCCCCTCTTTTTCTGAACCCTTTGAAAGTGAGTTGCAGACATCTTGACCTTGGGTTCCTGATGCCAAGAGATGGCAAGTGCTGGCTGTCAGGGGCTCCACCCAAGGAGTTAATTTCCATGTTAGCTTGGGTATAAACTAGATACGCAAGAGAGATGATATCTTTTCAGGTAGGACTTTTCCATCCTAAACCAGGGGAATCCACTCATCTGTCCCAGGTTGTTGGGCCTGGAAAATTCCCCAAACCCAAAGATCAATCCTAAAGCCCAAAGAGAATGAAAAATGAAAGGTTTGATTTGCTCAGACAGGAGTTTGTGGGTCAATTTTTTCTACCATTTTGACTTCTGAGAATGTTGTACTGTTTGGACAATAAATAATAACATAATGTTCCCAAGAGACAACAAACAGCCTTTAATAATAATAATGATAACAACAACAACAACAGAATAAACTTCCCAAGAGCCAACAGCTTTTCAGTTTATTTCCAGGGCTTTCCTGGGGTTACGCTCATGTATTTTTCTTAGCTTTTCTAGCAATGGTGAACATGCATAATCAGTGGTGTGCTGGTAAATGTTTAACAACCAGCTCTGGGAAAAAGTGTGTGTGTGTGTATATATATATATATATATATATATATGTACATAGGTTTATTATAAATTTTACTGATATAAAGGATGTATAACACAATTTACAAGTAATAATAAAACAGGCAATTAGTCTTTATTGTGAATTCCATATAGCCAGTTGATTCTCACAGAATGCTTTCATTGATTTTGCCAAACTCTTGTATCCATATCAACCTATGGTTATGATTGCAGTCAACAAAGAAATGCAGTTCTGACAAGAGTGTTGGTTGATGTTTTTGTTTGCATTAACAAATAAGACAAAAGTGAAACAACAAAGACATATATTAGAACTTCACTCGTTTGTCAATGATATGAACAACTGCTGAATTGTATAATAGTTTTCGAATACTGAAAAAGTATTTCCTTAATTTTTTGTACTATTCACAATGTAATGGCTACAAGACACAACACACTTCTAAGTTTAATCTGCATTTTAGCATTTTCTTCATCACTTCCTTAACCCTAGACAATCAACAAAACAAGTCCTGATTTGTAGTGTTTATCTATTTCCGTGGCCAATTTCAAGCTACTACCATGATGTCACTGAACAGGGAGCTGAGAAGAGATGAGCAGTAGCACGCCATTATATAGCATTTCCACCAGATAAATCGACGTAAATGACCTCAAGGGCATAGATAATAGTAGAATGTAGTAAAACAATTAGGAAGTAATGAGTTTTTAGTATTTATTTATTACCTTTTTATTTAATTTAATTATAAATTTATATATTAACATTCTAAAACATTTTTAATATTTATATATTTTTTACCTTTTTAATAATGGCTGTTTTTAACAGGTGCTCAGCAATTTCCTGAAAATTTAACAGTTGCCTCTTGTGAGCGGCTATGAGCCGGTTCCAGCACACCACTGTGTGTCATGCTATGAGACTCAGCTGGCTGTCTGGTTCTGTTGCTTGTGCCTCCTCAGCACCCCTCACATGTGCCCTCCTTCTCCATCCCCTCGGCCACCTCTGCCATGGGCGACTTCCTCTGCTCCCACCCAAGTCTCTCCTCCACATACTGTGGCCCTGTCCCTAGAGCTCAGCTTAAATTGTGTCACTTGCTCTTCAAAACTTCGTGTTCAAACACATGCCTGTAGAATCAGGTCCAAATTCCTCAGGCTACCCTTGCAAGCCCTCCCCAGTGTGGTCTTAAGCTATTTTCTCAATAGAAGGACAACCCAGTAGCTCCCAACTCCCAGGTCTCTATTCACCACGACTTCTTTGTTGTACATCAGACCCACATAGTCACCTGCCACCTGGACATCTCCTCTTGGATGGTCCCCAGACATCTCAAACTCAGCATGTCCCAAGTAGAGCTCACCCTTTTCCTCTCCCTCCCACCCCCACAGTGCTTCTATTCCTATAGTCCCAGATTTTCTTTTAAGCCCTCAAATTTACCCTGTTCCCATCTCTCTTCATATTCTTTGGACACTTTCTTCTTCCAGGAACATTTTTTTCCACTCCACCCCACTGCTTGCTCTCTCCCCTAACTTTTTTTCTGGCTGACTCTCACCCATCCTTCAGGTCTCAGCTGAGATGTTGCTTCCTCTGGGAAGGTTAGGGGCCCACAGCACACCATTTCCCTGTTCTTCCCACCATAGAATTCACCACACTGTACTACAATTATCTATTAATTGTTTGTCTACCCCAGGAGACTGTGAGGTCCGTAAGGCTAATCTTGCTCACCGCCGTATCCCCAGTATCTAGCCCAGTTACTGCCACATTGTAGGTGCTGAACGAATGAGTGAATGAGAGGTATATCCTGTGGTTCACCTACAAACCCTCCCCTCCACCTGTCTTGTTTCCTCACTGTTCCCCAAGCACACCTTGTACTTTTTCACTTCCCAAAAAAGCCATAGTTTTTGCTTGTGCTTAAGGGGACAAGGTCGGAAAATGTCACCTTCTGAAATCGGAACTAATTGAATCAACATTGAATTGATGAGATCAACCATCTGCAAAATAATCCAGTTTAAGGGTTGGTTTGTAAATGTGGTACCAGTGAGACAAGGGTGCTTCTCAGGTCTCTATGGTGACCAGCATGTTGCCACAGGCTGGGAATCTGCCAAATATAAAGAAAGTGATAATGTCAATCAATTGTAACCTGATTGCTAGAGATAATGCTGTAAGCAGGAGGGCCCTTGTCTACATGGGATCTTGAAAAGAATTGAGACAAAGAGCAACACATTTTCTGTGTTTGATCATCATCAAGTGCTACATGCAGTCCTTTGCAGTTTACAAAGAACCTCCATGTGTTACCTGAGTGAATCTCCATGATGAGGCTGCCAAGTGGGCCTTATTCATCATTTTATAGATGACAAAAATAAAGTTCAGGGAGGTGAATCAACTTGCCCCAAATCCCCCCTCCCCCCAACACCCATACCTTCACTAAGCCCACAGGGAATGAGAGGGTTATGAACCCAAGGACAGAAATACCTCTAGGGTAGAGACAGAAAGTTCTTGCGGTGACAGGTAGTCAACCCACCCGCTTTAGTTCAGTCTGATTCTGTGCTCAGGTTGCAGCTTTTGGCTTTGAAGAGGTTTATCTCAGGCCTTGGACCCCCTGAAGGTAGGCGGGGCAGGGGAGGATTGCTCCCAGGCTGGTCTCTTGTTTATTCAGCAAACATTTATTGGACAACTACTATGTGCTCAGCAGTCCTAGGAGCTTGGGATATACTGGTGAATAAAACACAGAGCTCCTCGCCAAGCTGATGGCCTAATTCCTCCGAGAGTCTGACAAGTAAATAATTACAAATATGGTGCCATAGAGGCTCTGAGAAGGGAAGCACAGGGTGCCCTGGGAGCCCAAGGAAGAGCCATTTACAGGGGTCTGGGAGAGGGTCTGGGAAAGCTTCCCAGAGGAATCGATGTCTGAGCTGATACCGGAAGGGACTTGGCAATACAAAAAGGGGCTGGAGTAGTCAGAGGATGGGGAGAGAAAAACTTTCCAGGAAGAGAGAGTGAGAAAGCTGGGGGGTGAGAGTGTGTGACAATGAAAGGCAAGGGAAGAGAGGTGGGGAGGGGGTTATGAGAGGTGAGGCTAGAGACATAATCATAAAATCCAAATTAATATAATAATAATAATCTCATAATGTATACTACAATAGAACAAGGTCCATAATGTTATTGTCATTATTAATCATTAGTTGATTAAATCAATAATAATTTATATGACCGATACTGCTAACTTTATAATCATAAGATCTAACTTGCAGTGAACGATTAAAGCATGTTGGTGCGGGGCGTAGAGCTCAGTGCATTACATGCACTATCTCCTCTCACCCTCACAACAACCCTACCAGGTAGGTACTGTTATTGTCCTACACTAAAAATGAGAAATTTGCAGGTTAGAGACGTTAAGAAAGTTACATTGGGTATTAGGTGGCTGGTGTGGCATCATAATATGGACTCCAGAACCCATCCTGGAAAACAGCTTGCCTAATAGCACAGTACCTCATCACACGTGTACAGGAATTGGGACTTAATCCTAAGAAAAATAAAGTCATCAAAGAGTTTTGGGCAGGGAGGAGACGCCCAGATTTTGTTTTTAAAAAGCTCACCCTGGCTGCAGGGTGGAGAATGGATTGGAAAGGGGAAAAGAGGGGAGAGAGGGCAGGGGAAGGCTGTTGCCTTTTACTTCATCTCTCAGGTGGTGGTGGCTTGGACTAGGGAGATAGCGGTGGGAATGGAGGGAAGGCAGTGGATTCGTGGATATGGAGGAGGTAACATTGACTCTTGGGTTCTGGCTTAAACAAATGGATAAATGGCAGAGCCATTCCTCCAGAAGAGGCACACGGAAGGAGGAAGAGGTTCTGAGGTAAGAAGACACCCACGAAGTTCACACTGCAGATGAATTGCAAGGTCTATGAGAGACACTAAGGAGGTGAGGTCTGGGAGGCAGCTGAAGAGATGATTCTAGAGCTCAGAGAAGAGGTCTGGACCAGGCAACAGGATAAAGAAGGTGATTCCAGCAGCGGAGAGATGAAGTCTCCTGGGCGTGCTGAGTGAGAAAGGCAAGGGTGGATGCACACCACCCTCTGAGGGAGGACCAAGTGAACAAGGTATGCAGGGAACTGCAAAGGGTTTGCTTGCTCCTCCAGGAGGAGACAGCTGGCAGGCCTGAGACAGAGTTGAGACTTCAACTCTTTGAAGTGAAAGGACCTTTGGAAGGCGTTTAGTTCAAACCTCTCACTTAGAGATGCCTCCCCCAAAGAAGGACACTGGGCAGCACTGTTGCCAATTTTAGCACTCATGTATTTTCCAGCGAGGATGTGGGCTTGGGACTGGGTTCCAGCTGTGGGGAGGATTACCAAGCACCAATCTCACTCTCTCAACCCATCCCAGTCCCCCTTGGGATACAAGGCTCTCACATGTATGACAAGGGTTTGATCCAACCGTTTGAAGAGACAGTATAGCATACTGCTTAAGCATATGGCCTTTGAAGCAAGACTGCCTGTGTTCAAGACCTCCACCAACTTTCACGAGCTGTTTGACGTTGGGCAAGTCAATTTACCCCCCTGAGTCTCAGCTTCCCCTTCTGTAAAAGGGAGATAATAACTGTACCAAGCTCACAGGGATTGTGGTGAGGATAAAATGAGCTAGAACATTCCCTGGCAGTTAGTAAACACTGCTGAGTGTTAGCTGATCCTGGCCAACACGAATGTGTCTGACCCATTACAGTTTCCAAATCCATAATCTCCAAGGGCCTGATTGCTCAATAAAAGTGTTTAGGGAAGATAGACAAACAAACACATAGACAAGGAGAACAGATTGGTGGTTACCTGAGGGGAAGAGGATGGGAGGAGGGCGAAAAGGGTAAAGGGGCACATATATATGGTGACAGATGGAAACTAGATTTTTGGTGGTGAACACGATGCAGTCTATACAGAAACTTATATATAATAATTTACACTTGAAATTTACACAATGTTATAAGCCAATATGACCTCAATAAAATAATTTTAAAAAATGCTTAGGGTTGGGGCCAGCCCGGTGGTGTAGTGGTTAAGTTCACACTCTCTGCTTCGGCGGCCTGGGGTTCGCGTGTTTGGATTGTGGGCATGGACCTACACACTGCTTATCAAGCCATGCTGTGGTGGTGTCCCATATAAAGTAGAGGAAGATAGGCACAGATGTTAGCCCAGGGCCAATCTTCCTCAGTAAAAGGGAAGGATTGGCAACAGATGTTAGCTCAGGGCTAATCTTCCTCACCAAAAAAAAAAAAAAATGCTTAGGGAATTCATAAAGCAGGAACAACAACAAAAGTGTTTGGGAAAAGAATATGATAGTTGATATTGCAAAGGACTCCATCAGAGTAGCCATCACAGAAAAAAATCAGACTTTGGTTGGACTCTCTCCCCCTTTTTACAGTTTGGTATAATTTTTACCCTGAATCACCTAACAACAATGGTAGTACTGAGTGTGGAGTGGGGGGAAGTGGAGGTAGAAGTCACATCTTTTCAGTACTTAGAGCCTCTGAGTCATAGTCTCAGATAATCCCATTTGAGAGTCTCATCAAGCCTGTGAAGGAGGGGTCATTTATATCCTTCATTGTAGAAGTGGAAAATAAGGCTCAGAGAGGTCAAAAACCTGGCCCAAGTTCACATAGCTAAGAGGGATGGGGCTGGATGGGAACACAGGCAGTCTGCTGTCAGAGCCTCCGATGAGGTGGGAGGTTGGTGTTCATCTTTCTGGAGCGGGGCTCCTTGGCATGGGCCTATTGGTCTCATGTGAGGGGAATTCATGCTTTTGTGCAAGGAGTAGGGGAGTAAGGGGGCCCTGGTGTTAGCCCCGGGCCGGGGTGATTCGGGCCAGAAGGCAAAGATGGCTCTCGGGGCTTTTTGGAAAGCTTCCTCCTTGGGGGACATATGTTCACAATCAGTGTGTGTATGGTGGGGGGGAGGTGGGGGCTGTCCTGGCCAGTGGCCAAGCCAGATGTTTGTTGTGTGACTCCACACAGCACAGAGCTCAGTGACCCCTTGCCGTGCTGGGAATTTGTGTGCTACAGTTATGGGACCAGCTTCATCCCATAACTCAGAAAGTTTCAAAGGTCCTCTGGGCCGAGGCGGGCCCCAGGCAGAGCCAGGGAGGCAGGAGGTTGGCCTCCCATTCCCTGACACCTCCTTGTTGGGGCCCCTTTCCTTGCACATGACTTTCTTTTCCTTACGCTCTCCCCACACCCAGGTGCTCCTTGTCGTCCGGCAGCCTTCCCCACCCCACGACTTCCACTAAGGCCTGGCTGGGCATTGCCTTCATTTCCCCCGCCTGTCGCAAAGGGTGAGCCCCTTTGCCCTTCTTTTCCACCTAACAAAAGGGTTATCCTTATCCTTTACAGTCCCCTCCAGTCTCAGCTCTGCTGTGAAACTTCTCCAGCTTCCCCAGAAAGGGAAGGACATGGAGGCAAGTGCTCAGGGAGCATCTACTCTGTGCCAGTTGTGGAACTGGGGGTTTTACACACCTCACCTCATTAAATCTTTGCAACAGCCCTGTGAGATTCTACAGGTGAGGGAACCCGGGTTCAGAGATGGAAAGCAACTTGCTTGATGTCACACAGCTGAGAAAGGCAGGGGTGTGGCTCAATTTAATGCCCAAGTCTCTATGAACTTGAACTTTCTCCAGTTCACACCAAGCTGCCTGTCCCCAAACACATTCCCCCTTGATCACCTTCGACTCCTCTTTTTCTTCCTACCAATGTCCAGTCCATCAGCAAATCCTATTCGTTCTACCTCCACAATATATCCAGAATCCAGCACGTCTCACCATCTCCACAGGTGCCCCTGGTCTAAGCACCCATCATCTTTCACTTGGATCGCTGCAATAGTACCCTAACTGCTCCTTTCCCCTCACAGTGCTCCTAACTGCTTCACCCTTGCCCCACCCCCAATACACACACAGTCCATTCATAACACAGAAGCCAGAGGGGTCCTATTAAAACACAAGTCAAATCATGTCGTGTCTTCACCTCAAAATCCTGCAATGGCCCTTGTTTCACTTGTAGTGTGCGTCCTTATGTTGGCCCACATGGCTGCAGGGTCTGTCTCCGCCTCTTTCCTAGCCCTGTGT